CTCTCTCTCTCTCTCTCTCTCTCTCTCTCTCTCTCTTGCTCTCTCTTTAACCAAAGAAAACAAAGTTTTAACTCTCTCGTTACAATCGTAAGATATCAAAGTGGATTATTCTTGCTATTTAGAAGCACCAAAACCCAACGTAGGTGCTAAAAGTCCGTATCTCTCATGACTGCAGCTTCGTTATAAATGATTAATCGTCATGTCATGTACCTGCATCCAGCACAAATAAGAGAGAGATCCATTACTCTTTATGAGAGTAAATCTAGCTCCTACCTGTTTCATTCTCCCCAAGCCATCAGAAATAAGCTTGTAACAATGGTTCATGGGTGGCCCCACCAGTAAGTCTTACTGAAAATTGTGAAGGGGATTGGCGCATACTTGGCATCATTTGGAGACTCAGATCAGCAACTATCAAGCTCTTGGGCTCATTCGGTTAGTTGAGCTAACCTCGCACTAATTATACATATATGTAAACTTACTGTGCAACTCTCTTCACATAGACCAGAAGTTCAACGAGAGTTTGCATTTAGAAAATATATATGGACTTGTTCAGAAAAAAATATCATTAATATCTTAGTTAACTCGACGTGTTTGAGAACTAGATGTGTAGGACTGTTCGAGGTGTCTCCGAGGTGAGAATGTTGAACTCCCAAAGTGCCACTTGCAAAAGATCGAGGTTAGAAAAAGTTTCCCGATCTAGTTAAATAACTCCCAATGCTCAAGTTAGTAACCCAAGATAAATAAGTGTGGACATTGATAGTTCAAAGAATAGTCCTCTCTTTCTGTATCATAGGTGAGTTTTTATACCTGGTTCTAAAGGATATAAATGAAGCTTAAGATTATCTTTCTTGCCATAAATTGTAAGAAGGAAGCTTGTGATTTGCTTTCTCGCCATAAATAATGAGAAGAAAGCTTTATTTTCTCTTCCCACTTTGGGCACCATGTGACAGTGACATGTGGGCTGACCTATCATTCGTCCCTCTCCTAAAGGTGTGCTTCGGGGCTCTTTTGAGAGGGGGTCAAGGTATGACATTTAATTCATCTAACATGTGTGCATTTGGGATTTGCTTCTATGGGTCGGGTTATCACCTCAACTGTGATGGATTTCTCTTCACATGGGTCGAATTTCTCCGACTCATGCGCCTTGAGCATATTTTGCATTATGTTTTCGCCATAGTAGATTCAGGTTGGGTTTTCTCGACTAATGCATCTCAAGAGTATTTGGCCTTATGGTTTCATTGTGACAAATTTTCTTTATGTGGGTCGCATTTTTCCAACTCACGTGTCTCAATCACATTTGGTCTAGTGCCTCCGCCGTGACATATTTCTTTTCCCACATGTCAGGTTTCCAAACTCACGCATTTTAGGCGCATTTAGCCTTGCGCCTTCACAATAGAAGATTTCTCTTCACGTGAGTTAGGTTTCCTAACTCATGTGTTTCAAGTGCATTTGGCCTTATGCCTCTGCCATCGTGGATTTCTCTTCACGTGGGTCGGGTTTCCCGCATCACGTTTTTGGGTGAATGTGGCCTTGCACCCTATCGTGGTGGATTTTGCTTCACACGGGTTTGGCTTTTGACTCATGTATCTTGGGCGCATTTGGCCTTGCACCTCCACTTGTTGAATCCCGAATTTTGATGATGAAATCAATTGATGATTTTATGATCCATTGAGTGCTTGAGAAAAGTATTGTAGGACTTCGATTATGGAAAGACAAATTGATTGAAGTAAGAGAATCAAACATTAGGTTGGAGTGGATCATGGTAGAGATTAGGCATCAGGCCGAAAGGATCGAGTATTGCACTAGGATAAGATGTTGTAGGAGGTCAACATGTCGATGGATCGGGCAATTCGCCAAAAGAAATAATGATGCATCGGAAGTTTGGACGAAGTGCCGGATGAACCAATGATATGCCAAACAACATAGGATTCATGTTTGTAATCATTTATGTCTTGATCGAAGTAGTTTAGGTTTTAATTGAGTTGGTTTTGGGTGTAACCATGCCAACTTAATTAAGGGCCCATTAGACCTGAATTAGGGCTGAATTGGCTCTATTAGAAGGCCAATTTAGTGACTTAAAGTTGGGTCAAGTAGTGGCATCTCCAGATAAGGCAGTAGAACCACTTGTGAGCTAGAAAGTATGGAGTGTACATTTTCGAAAAACCTGACGGTGGTACCGCCAATGTCAGGCGATAGTGTTGAATCTCGGATTTTGATGATGAAGTCAAGTGTAATTTGTTTGATCTAATCTATATGTTGAGAAAAGTGTGCAGGATTAACTACGATAATAGTAAGACATAAAGCTGGTGTTGTGTCGGAGTCAAGATCGAGATCATGTTGGGAGTTCGAGAGTTCGTTGGAAGTCCGGACGTTCGTCGGAAGTTCCACCAGAACCAACCGAGAAGTCTAGGAGCTTGCCAAAGAAGCTCGTCGGAACTTGCTAAGAAGATCATTGTAAAGTCCAGGAGCTTGCCGGGAGTCCACCGGAGCATTGCCAAGAGTTCGTCGGATGTTCACCGGAAGTACGCCGGAAGCTTGCTGGAAGAGCAATTGATGCACCGGAATAAGAAGTGTAGTAAACATGTCTTAATTATCGTAGTTAGAGCGTAAATTAAGTTAGGATTGGGAGGTAATCCCACTAACTTAATTAGGGTCCAATTGGGCCCTTAACAGGGCTTAATTGGGCCGAATTGAGCACCAAATTCAGCCCTTGAATTTTTGGCCGGCGGTGGCACTGCTTAAAAAGCAATGCCCCAGGAAATTTGGGTGGTGGTGCCACCAAAAGTTATTGCTGCCAATGGTGGTACCACCAAAGCTCGGTCTCCGAGCTCTTTCAAGCAGTGGTATCGCCCAGACTAAGCGGTAGTACCGCCTAGTGTCAAGCGTCAGGTGGTGGTACCGCCAGGACCCTGAAAATCCAGGATTAGACATTTTTTGGCTCTATTTTTGAAGCCATTGGGGCCTATAAAAACCTCCACCATTTTTTGTATGAAAGGACACGAAAGTATTGAGATATTCTTGAGTTATTGGGGTGTAAAAGTGTTGTAAGCAAGTGCTAGAGTTCTCCTCCTCCCTTTCTAAGTTTTGAGATCATTCAAGAGAGGTGTGAGACTTGTAAGGGTTCTCTCCTAAACCCTGAAAAGGAGAAAGCACTGTAAAAGGTTGTTGGTCTTTACCTATTGAAGGAAGGCCTTTAGTGGACGCCGGAGACCTCGTCGGAGGAGGAATCCGAAAGTGGATGTAGGGTCACGTTGACCGAACCACTCTAAATTCTGGTTTGCTTTTCATAAGTGTAATTTACTATAATTGCAAATCATTTCATAGCAAACTGCTTCTCCTCCTCATCTTGCTTACGTTCTCATACGTTTCAAGTTGCTATCTCCCGATTCGGTTTCATCAAACGTATGAAATATTTTATACGAAAATCTAAGAATTTTTTGCTGCACTAATTCACCTCTCTTAGTGCTGCTCTTGATCCTAACAGATAGTACCACCCAGACTAGCAATGGTACCACCTAGACTGGCGATAATACTTCCAGAATAGAGTCTTCTAGGCTGTCAAGTGGTGGTACCACCCAGGTAGGTGGTGGTACCACCAATGCTTAGTGCAGTAGGCAATGGTACTACCCAACACTAGCAGTAGTACTGCTAGTATCCCAAAAACTCGAGGATGAGAACTTTTGACTCTATTTTTAAAGTCATTTCGGGCCTATAAATACCCCAGTCATTCTTGCTTGAGATCATAAGAAAAGAGCATGGAAAACTTATGATTCTAAGTATGTAAACTCTGTTGAAAGTGTTGAGTTCCTTCCTCAAGCTTCTTATTCCTTCGAAAGGAGGT